GCCTCCTCCTGAGCAGGGGGAACAACCTCGTGTCAGTCATCAGGCTGGGCAGCAGGGCAGGCTGCTCCAGCGTCCCGGGGGCTCAACGGACGCCCAAAGGGCAGACCTGGGGGAGACTAATGGCACTTCCCTCCTCGGAGGAGCCTAGTTCACTTGTCCCACCATCAGGGCACTGGGGCAGAGCCAGGAACAGGGACCCGAGTACCCGCCCCCCCACACACACCTCTTTCTTGACACAGGGCGGACAGTAGAAGAAATAATGAGGATTCGACAGCACTGGCTTAAAATGCAAACTCCCGATTTCCAGGAACTTCTCCTGCCGAGAGAGACAGGAGATGGCGAATGTGAGACTGACTCCCTCCGGCCCCAGCCCACTGCATGCTTGCTCCCCTCCCTCACCTGGATGATTTTATGCAGGTCAGGGTGCACCTGGCAGGGCTGGCCATTCTCCAGCAGGGATAGGGGGAACTCTGGGCAGCAGCTGGTGCTGATCTTGGGCTCCTCAGTGGGGCATGAGAAACCTCCGTGGTCCTGCTCGCTGTAGTCCTCCATCTCCGCACTGACGAGGCCACATGCATACAAGCCAGATGGGCACAGTACGAACCATGAACAGTCAGTGTCACCTCCAAGTACAATGCACCCACCCCTAGCCACCTAACAGACCTATAACCCACTCAGCCCAAAGTGCCAGAAAACACCTCTGCCCACTGCAGCTGACTCCACTAGGTACCCATACTGCCACGCAGGCCCTGCTGGGTACTGTGCCCCTCTGCTAAGCCCTGGGGGGTAGGACCCAGGAAGAAGAGTAGAGGGACAGCAGCTGGGTATAAGGCCTTGGACTCTATACAAGGGCTGGGGGGCAGCTGTGTCTATACCAGGCCTTTGCCAGACTTTCAGGAGAGGAGCAGAGGGAGTCAGATCGGGGTCTGGATACAGACACAGAGTCCAGCCACTCAGGGAAGGGGCAGTGCCTCTGGAGAAGTGGGCAGAGTGCAGCAATGTCCCTGCTCGGTGCTGACTGGGGCTGGTCTCACTGCACGTAGCAGGTATTAACCAGCTGATCAAGCAGGATTCAGAGCCCTGCAGCCATGCCGCAGACCTTAGCTCAGCACGAAGTCCACCAGCCACAGAACCCGTCATGCAGACATCTCGTGCCATTCTGTGCCTAGGCACCGTACCTCTGGGTAGCACAAGGGAGTGGGAACCCGGCAGGACACACTGCAGCCCCCAACCCACTTGGGGCCTCACTTCCTTAGCCCTCCTGCTGCATGATGCTGTCTCTCCTCTGCGTGGAAACGACCCGTGACGGGCCAGGAGCTCACGGCTCATCCCTGAGTCAATGCAAAGGGCGGCAGATGGCTCCTACCTAGACTCTGAGACGAGGACACCCCTCTCCCTGGAGAGCGGCTCCTCCTCCTGCTCCAGGCTGGCTGCCCTGGGGTGCATGTGGAAGTGCCGGTGGCTCTCGCGGAAGGCCCGCACATGGCTGCAGAGGGTCAGCAGGAAGTTGGTGATGTCGATCTCCTGCAGCAGCTCCTCGCAGTAGTCCATGGCTGTGAGAAGGTCCTGGGAGCTGATGCTATGCGACTGCTGCAGGCTCTTGAACAGCCCTGTGGGTGTAACACCGGGCTCAGTGCACGGCTGTGCCCAGCGGGGCAGGAGGTGGGAAGGGAGACCATGGCCAAGGTTACTCAGGCCGCTCAGTAAGCCCCCAATGAGAGGACTTAGCAAGCAGTGCTCGCTCTGTGCTGTGCTCCCTGCGGCTGTGCCCACAGGCCTGGGCCCCAAGGGGCTGGGCGGGAACATCTTTAAGCTAACTCTGACAAGAAACTAGTTCCCTGCAAAGAGTTCTTCCCTCCCCTCACCCACCAGAGAGTGGGGTCTAGGAAGGCCCTGGCTCAGCCCCCCTCCATGCCAGGGCAGAGCTCCTCGCCATGCCCCTCCTTACCTTTCACGTAGCACTGGTGCGAGTGCTCCTGCAGCAGCGTGCAGTAACTCACCAGCTCCTTGTGCTTGTGGTCTAGCCAGGTGGCATTTGGGGGGCGCTCCAGAAACTGGGACCTGGAAAAGAGCAGCAGCGTCACCACTCAGCCCTGCTGGTGTGTCACATCCCTGGAGGAAGAGGTAATCTGCGCTGGGACGGGATGGGCCATGGCCAGCCTACAAGCTCTTGCAGGCAGGCACTGCTGTGAACAAGAAGGAATACGCCAGCAGACCAGGGCAAGGCTGGAGCCAGCATCCTGCAGAGGGAAGACTCGACTGTGCAGCCCTGAGCTCCCTGCACTTGCACCCCAAGGAGCGTGCACTCCCAGCCCCGAGCTGGGGGAGCTGGCTTTACCTGAAAAAGATGTCCCGCGGAGGCCGGTGTGTCCGGGGGCTGACCATCTGCTCCCGCAGCAGCTCCAAGGAGCAGCTATAGACGTAGACAGGGCAGCGGACCCGGTGCCCCTCGCTCAGCTCGGGCTGCGAGGCCTGGCGGCTGAAGGAGATGTGTACGTCCTTCCGCAGGGCAGCGCCTGGCTCTCCTGGGTCCTGGCCTGCTTCTGCAGAAGAGAGGCGCCCTGAGGGGGAGCTCCCTGCTGACAGCCCAAGACGCCAGCCACTATGTCTGGGCCTGCCCTTTCCTCACGAGATTGCCCATTCAGCTCAGTACACTGGTATCCCTGTTCCCAAGAGCCCCCCTCCGTCTTGCTCCCATCTCCGCCCCAGACGTCTTCTCCGGGCCCACAGGGAGCATGAGGCCGGTTTGTAACTTCCCTTAGACTCTCCTCACCTGAGCATACTGGCCCAGGGCTTTCCCACTCCTGTCCCCTGCCACGGCTCTGTACAGCAGCATGGACCCTCCGCTCCTCAGACACTAGCCAGCCAACTGATTCCCCCTCCCCTTTTCCATATCAAGGGCTCTGTATGGAGCTTGAACACCCCCAGCCTGCAGTGCTGCCTCTTCCCCTGCCCTCTGGGGGCTGTGATCTCCAGCAGGGAGCAGGTGGCTCCGCTCCACGCTACCAGAGCGACACAGCACACTCCGAACAGCCTGTCGGGACAGGGTCTGAGAGAGATCCAGGGGCCTCCTGGCAGAAGGGCTGGTGTCTGAGGAAGCCCCATTGCTTCGCTGGAGGCAGAGTCACCCGGCCTGCAGCCTGTGCGCCAGATTAGCGGACGTCCATTTCCCAAGGAGCAGCCCCTCTGGAGGGGTGCCGGCCAGGCTGCATACATAGCTGCACTGCTCGGGGACTCCTCAGCCCTTCCCCACGCCCCGATCAGGGGATGGGCGTATCCCACAGCCACTCGGGCTGAGCCAGGAGCAGCACACGTGCACAAGCCTCTGGCCTGCCTGGCCGTGGCAGACACTCTGAGTGGGAGGACGACTCTCCTGGGCTCGGGAACGGGTCCTGCCCACAGAACACATGGGGTGGGGAGCTGGGGCCAGTACCATTGGCCGGCGTTACACTGAGGGTAGGTGGGAATGCCGCAGCCACCGCCTCCTTCGAGTCCCGTTCTGCCCGGCTCCCCACAGACAGAGTCCAGGCTCTCTCCTGCAGAGCCGTCCTCCTTCAGGGCTTTCTCCAGCGCACAAGCCATCAGCTTCTGTACGTCTAGAGAAGAAAAGGAAAGGTCAGGCCCTTCCCGCATAGCCCGACAGGTGGGGGCTGCTGCTAGCCCAGAACGCCAAGGGCAGCTTGGAGGACCAGCCACATTCTAGGTGCCTTCAACATGAGTTAGAGAAGTAGCCAACTCAGTAGCTCACCCTGGGTAACTGGTATCAACCCTTAAAATACCCACCTCCTGTGAGAGGCAAGGGCCCTCAGAGAACACCCTGCCAGCCGCCCCAGCCTCCATTCTGGTAACCCCAGGGGGCTTCACTCAGGTCCCCCCATGGCAGGGGCGGGGAGCTCTAGGCATGCCCCAAACCAGGTCGCAATAAACTGGGGAAAGCCAAACCTCCACACGGGAGCCAAGCAACAGCCAGGCAGGTCCCAGAGCACTGCAAGAGACCCATTGCTAAGCCCCTCAGCCCTGAGCTCTGCCCATCTCCACACAACAGGAAGGCTGTCCCCCCGAGAGCGTCACTCAGCATTCCCGCTGCTGCCCGACTCCGCTCCCTGGCTCAGCAGGGCAGACTCACCGGGGAAGGTGGCTGGCAGGAAGGTGAGGAAGAGGTGCTGTGGACTGACCAGCTTGGCGTAGCATCGCCATTGCAGGAGAAGCCCAGCAGCATCGGCCGGGGACAAGTCGGCCTCCGGCAGCTCTGCGCTGCACAGGCTCTGAGGAGAGAGCACAGCGGGCTAAGACTGCAGGACACCACAGGGCAAGGCAGGGGTGATACAGAGCAGAAACACCCCTCGGGGGCTGGCTGGCCCTCAGGTGCAGCAGCCTCCGTGTCCATGCGCTCGACTGCTGACAGAGCAGCCTGGCTCAGACCTGTGCTGCTGCACACTGCATAGGCCGGGGCTCCCCCCACTGCAGGTATAGCACAGGTGGCCATGGCGCCAGTTTCCCCAGGCCCTCCTCAGCCTGGCTCCTGCCTGTGTCATCCCCAGCCCTTTCCATTGCTGCCCTCTCCATGGGCAGTGCCAGCCGGGGCAGTTCTGCCAGCTGTGTGCCTGCCCCAGAGCAAGGCCCTCGCTTTCTCCCAGCCCCTGGGCAGCCAAGAGAGGCTGGTGGGTCATCACAGACAGAAGCTGGATTTGAAGTGCTCCATCCCAATCCCTGTCCCCGGGCTCAGGCCGTTCCCCAGCAGCTGCCCCCTTTGTGCAGTGTTCAGGAGTTTCCGGGGCAGGGGAGCACAAGGCCCCCAGCAGCACGAGGGCCATAGAGCCAAGGGAGGTACCTGCAGGGTGCTCGTGGAGCCATTCATGTCCCTGGTAGTGCTACTGCCAACAGGGTGAGCAGCTAAAGAGGGATCCTGCTGGTCCAGGGGCGCAGGGGCCTTCAGGGGCTCTTCTGGAACCGAAGAGACAGGTTGTGAGGAGGGGAACCCAGGAGCAGGGCACCAAGGGCCCCGCCTTGCTCACGTCTCCGGCTGCCAGGCTCTCTGCCCCTTACCTCGGATCACTGGAAGCGTGAATGGGGGCAGATGGCCATCACGGTCCCGCTGTAGGACCTGCTCCATGAAGGCCATGTGATCCATGTCCGCCAAAGGGATCTCCCGGTCACTGAGGTCATGCTGCAGGCAGCCGTGGAAGAAGTCTAGCAGCATTTCATTGGGTGCAAACGAAGAGTCCTTGGCCATCGCCTCATCCTCTGCTCCAGCACAGAACCACCAGCATCAGAGACCCGCTCCAGCCAGCTACTGTCCCAACAGCCTCCCGCCAGGCAGGTCATAGCAAGGAGACAGCTGCATGGGGCTGGTGAGGTTTTCCCATTACGTCTGCAAGGTGAGCTTACACAAGGCTGAGAGGGAGCCCTCTGCTATCAGCCACACAAACCTCTCTGCACCCACCCACACCAGCTACTGGAACCACGCTGAAGACAAGGTTCAAGAGGGACGAAGCCACAAGACAGCACAGAGACCCAGGCCTGGCACTCACAAACAGACCCGCTACCACGCTGACACCAGCACAGGAGCAGCAGCAACCCCCAACGTCTCCGCCAGTGACCCTGGGGCTGTAGGAGCCACCCCGCATGCCCCAGCTGGGAGACACGAGGTGGCACTGCTGCAGGGAGGAGAGGAGGCAGCTCCCCTGCACTGCTGTAATAACCGGGGCCCGAGGGGCCTCCCCCAGCTGTGAGGTCAATGGGGCGAAAGCAGATGAAAGTTTATAAAAGGTTCCAATCACCTACATCAATCAATGTTAACAGAAAAAGTACAGAAGGGAGGCAGACCACATCCATCCAAACTAGGCAGCCTGCTGATACCGTCGGGATATTGCTGGAGGACTGTGGGACGGAAATCGATGGACCAGAACTGATGTGTCGTAAATTAGACCCAACTGGTGAACAAAATCATGACAGGCTGGGGTACTGCACCTATCACCTCGCTTTGGGGTCCTGAGAGCACTGGCTGAAAGACCCCCCATCCCACTTTGGCACACCAGGAGCCACTGTGATACTGATGGGCCTTCACTGGCCTCATCCTAAGAGCTGCCCTGGCCAGACTGGGCCAGAGAGAGGGACCCAAATCACCTCACATCTCCCTGGCTCCAGCTAGATCCCAACCACCACCTGGGACGTGAGGCATTAGTTTCTGCTGTTGCCCCTTCTCCCTCCTTTTCCTTCCCCATCTTATTTCCTCTTTCCTGTGCCTGGCACTTGGCCCTTCGTCTAAAGAGAGTCCAGCTTAGCCAGCCAAGACTGGACATTTTGTCAACACTGTGGGAGCCTGAAAGACAACAAAAAGCAATTCCCTGAACGGCCTGAGGGTGGCACCAGTTTCCCAGTGCTTGGAGTGCTGATTAGACTCCGTGCTGTGCTTGTGTTTCTCCAGCAGCGAGACGGCAAACGAGCCACCACCAGAAACAGCAGCAGCATATTCCCTTTGCTCTTCCTTTCTCTCCCCTTTGTAGGTGCGCGTCTGGCTTGGTTTTCAAGGAAGCAAGCAAACTAAGCAGCAGCAAATCCAGCCCTCCTCTCTTCCCCAAAAGCACAATTACCGCAGTCAATACCATGGAAAGGAGTGTCCCTGCTAACAACTCTGCAGCAAAAGGAGTGCGGTTACAATGAAAGCCCGACTCAGTACGTCACATTCCCCAGACTTTCACTGCTCTCCCTCCGCTCCCTATCTCTAACAAATGTCAGTGCTCACCTCCCGTCAGCATGAGGAAGAACATTTCGATCTGCTGGCATTTGGGTAGCAGCTTCAGGAGGCTGAACTGGAATGGGATCTCATGCACATGGGAGCCAGCCCCCATGTCAGGGCCTGCAAGGAGAACAAGGGAGATAAGGCACCTGCTCCCTCCTGGGGCACTAGGTGGCTGGACCCACAAGGAGAGCCTGCCAGCTGGAAGCAGCACAAGCTGGGAGAGGTGCACACTGAAGGCGCCTTTGCTGCTCACTGTGTGGTGGCATCTAAAGCCAAGGAGGGGGAGGAATCACCTGGGATTTATTATTATTTGTATTATCGTAGCACCTAGGAGTCCTAGTCATTGAGTAGGACCCCACCGTGCTAGGCACTGAGCAAACCCAGAACAAAGAGAGAGCCCCTGTCCTACCGAGTTGCCAATCTAAGGACAAGAGATGGCCACAGAGACATGGCATTGGTCAGCATGACAGGCAGCAGTCTCAGTGCACAACTGGTTGTAGGCAGCAGAGCAAAACAGATTTTGCAGGAGACTAACGGTTCCTTTGGGGGCGGTTTACAGGGAGCTCCACCCAAGCGCGAGGGGGCAGCAGGGGACAAACCACAAAAGGGCTTGCTTGAGAATTTAACAAGAGGGAGCTGGAGGGTCTAGGGCCACATGGAGGTGGGAGTTGGCTTTTCTGCACTGAGGGAGACAATACAACCGAGAGCTAGCTGCGGGGACCACCCTCTAGCCACTGGTGGACCATCGCTAGCTGCAGCGCCAACATGAAACTGCACAAGCAGGAACATGTCCCCTTGCAGTGCTGCCCTCCAAGACCCTTTTGCTTCTGGAGGGATGGTCACCCAGGTTAAATGAGTCGAGGTTCCTGCGCTGCTAGTGCACCAGATCAGGAGGTGCCAAGGGAACATGACTTGCAGACAGGTAGCTGCAATCTCTAGCTAAGGGATTTAGTGCTCCAAGAGGTTCAGAAGGGTCCTGAGAACAGAGCTCCTGGAGCATCAAGGAAGCTCCCCATGGTTTGGTCTGTAACCCTTCCTACATTCAGCTGTCCGTCAAGGTGTTCAGCCCACCCTCAGGACCATAGCAGCTGAACGCCTGCTCCTAAGAGGGATTCTCTTTGCAAAGAAGCTGAGACACCCACCGTGCCCAGTCAGGGAAAAGGGAATGGAGACAGACAGCAGCTCTTCCCTGTCCAGAACTGCTCCACAAGCCAGACCACAGGATTTCTCCTCCCCTGCCCTGAGACCTCAGGGTGCCTGCTGGCTTTCACAAGCCCAGCCCGCACCCTCGCCAGCTGAGCCACAGACTGGGTGATCTGTGGGAGCAGCGCAGGAGGTTGGGGCTGTCAGACAGAAAGAGGGAGCTGTCAGAGCGTCAGAATGAGCTGGGAGAACTTCGTCTGGCTGGTGGTAGGCTCTGCCCCTGGTTCCGTCCATCATGCCAGAGCAGAAACAGATTTTTGACTCACCTTCAGCAGCCTTGGCCTCCAAAGCCGGGGACACCCACTCCTTGTTCTGGCATAGCTGGCTGATGTACTCGAAAGTTAGCATGGTGCTAATGCAGGCCAGATCCCTGGGGTACAGCTGCAACAAGGATACAGGCTCAGTCTCGAACAAGCCTCAAGCAGAAGACGACTGAGGGCAGAGGAAGTCTGAAGACAGGAGGCTCCATCCCAACCCTCCTGATCTCCCTTGTCTCCACTCTCATCCCCTGCTTAACCTGTCGCTCTCCTCTGACTCTTTCATTTACAATACTGTCATGTTTTAGTCTCTCTCATCTTGGAAGTCCACCTTTGACTCCACTTGCCTCTCCAATATTGCCCCATCTTCCTTCCACCACTGAAGGCACTATCTATAAATCACTGACAGAGTTCCTCTCCTCCAATTCCACCCTAGATCCTCCAGTACAGCTTCTGCCCCTTGCACTCCAGGAAACCGCTTCTGAGGAGGACTCCATGACCTCTCCCTAACCAAAGCTTAGAACCAGTGCTCCATCTTCACCCTCCTTGAGCGTTCAGCCATGCTCCTCTTGAAACCTTGGCCTCCCTTGGCTTCTGTGACTGTCCTCTCCTAATTCTCTAATCTCACTTTCAGCATGTCCTTACGTGTCCTGCACCTTCCTGGGGGGGGTTCCACAGGGCTCTGTCCTTGGTCCCCTTCTCTTCGCCCTTGACACCTTATCTCTGGTAATTTCATCTACCTACACAAATTCAACAGCCATCTCTATGCTGACGACTCTCAGATCTACCTCTGCTCCAGATCTGTCTCCTTCTCTCTGTCGACTAGTATGTGCTGGCTAGCATATATACACACATCTATCTATCTTATATTATTACTAGGTATTATCCACACTATATCTATATCTATATATTAGTATCCATTACACACAAATATTGTAGCAATTGCATAGCCTAAATTGGCCTAATCTTAACTAGAATCCTGTTCACTTACATTAAGAATCCCATGACACCTTGCATTAGCTGAAGTAGATAGGAAAACTGTCAGGATCAAGACATAGGGGTGTTTTACCACAGCAACAGGTAGGGAGTTACTCTCTCAGGTCAGTACTGGAATGTCCCAAAGGAAGAGGACCAAATATCGGATTGTTCTTCCATGGTACAAGCCTAGGAAGGTACCTTCAGGACCAGGACCTGGATTGCTAGTTTCCAGAACAACAATATGGAAAGGACGTCACAAACAGAGACAAACTGATGGGGTGAATTAGTGACGTAAGCAAACGTGTAACATGGAAAGTCACCCTATAAACACTGCCAGCTGAAGTGCATAGTTTTGGGAGCACACCTTCTGCGTAAAGTGAATATAAATGGCTCCTGAAGACTGGTATCACATAGAACCTTTTCCCCTGTACATTATTATTGGCTCATAGCTAAGGCTAAGTTTTTGTCACAGATATTTTTAGTGAAAGTCAAGGACAGGTCACGGGCAATAATGAAAAATTCATGGAAGCCCATGGCCTGTCCTTGACCTTTACTAAAACCCATGACAAAATAGGTAGCCTGGGCAGCTCGGGTGGGTGTAGG